TCGCACTATCTAATAACTTTAGCGGACTATACTGGTATAGAGGATTGTATAGGATTTACATGTACACATATACAGCCGTAAAAACAAAAACAATATTGTAATACAGGACATTTATAAATTATTTTATCCTGAGATTTTGATGAATTTTTATTTATTTACTTTGTTTTTTCCATTTATTGTTGGTCTTTCTATTATTGTTATAATTGTTGTGTGTGTTTTTTTTTTTTTTGTGATTTTGAGAGTGTATTCTTGTAAACATTCGTGTTTTTTTTCTTTTTCCCTGTTTTTTTTTTGTTTTTTTGCAATTTCAATTCAAATATTTTTTTCATATTTAATAGTTTGATAGTCGTTCAGTAGGACGGTTGTGTATAACATTTTGTATACTTTGAACGTTTATTCTCGTCATTATTTTTTTCTGTGTTCTATTCATAGTGCAGTCCTTTTTCACAGTGTATAAAATTGTCGATATATTATTGTTGAACAATTAGAAATTAAACAGTAAAATAAAAAATGTGCATTATATAAAAATTTTAAATAGAATTTTAAAAAATATTTTGAATTTTTTCTTATATACAGCAATTAGTGAATAAAAACATAATTGAGAAACAATATGCATAAATTAATTAAAAAATATTTTCTTCTAACTTAAAAAATTTTGAATTAAAAATTAAATTCAAAAAGTGGAAAAAGTAAAATATAAATTTAATAAAATTTGTTTGTTTTTCTTAAATTAATTTCGTATATAACATTAATTTTTAACTGTTATAAATTATTGTAATCTTTATTTTTGAATTGGAGGGTTATGTGAATGAAAAAGGACATTTTGTTATAAGTAAAAATACATGTATGTGAATAGTCGGTTCAATTGAAATAGGAATTTCAAGTAGGAGTTTTAAAATTTTGGCAAAAAAATTGGAATTTTACATTCTACAAATTAATTTTACTCTTAAAATATTGTTAAAAATAAAATTTAATTAATTGATTATAAATTGTAATTAAAATTGTTCGCTTTCTTGTTATACATCACAATACGACCACACAATTATTATATTATAAGCAGTTATAATACTTATGAGTAGTATCCGAAATAGTAGCTGAATAAATAGTATCCGAAAATAATTAATGTAGTAAAATTTGGTAGGGCTATAATTTAATAATGCGAAGATAAAATTAATGAAAACTTTTGGAATCGCAGTAATCGCCCACAATTTGTTGGTCGCATCGCTTGATGTAATGGGTTGCTCTTCAAAAATTTTGTAATTTTCTTAATAAATTTTGTTTCAAAATTTTAAATTCTATAATCCAATTGGAAATATTTTTCAATAATATCCAATTACCTCAAGTAGCACAAGTAAAAGAATAAAGGTGAATAGTTCTATTTTTTCTATATTTTGTAAGCGGCTCATTTTTGGCCTACCGTGCTTGGTGTCATGCAATACTCTTCTGCTGACTAAATAACTAAATAATTGTTCTATTTTTCGCTGTTCTTTGTTACGTCCTTTATATATTGTCCTTTTATAATTGTATTATGAAAATTTTAATTAGAAAATATTGGAATAAAATTTGCAATCTTAAAATTTCATAAATTTCTAAAAAATTCATAATTGTATTTAAATTTGAAATTTTAAGTGTATTTCAATATTGAAAGAAATTTATGTAGTACAAAATAATATGTATAAGAAATATTCTATTGTATATCAGAAAATTATTGTTATACTCTACAATAATAAACTGTTATTTTAATTTCAAGTTAGTAAAATATCTTTTTTATACAACAATATACACTAATATTCTAGATTTTGCTCTTTTATTTAAATTTATTATCCTAAAAGTATGCAATTTTTTTAAAATTTTATAAAATCTTATTTCAGTATTTTTTCTATTTTATTTCTTTATCGATATCTTATGTAAAGAAGCGTTTCTATCCAGCATATGAAAATTAAAAAAAAAAATCTACTAAACTAATTTTTATAGGAATTATACTGCAACATTTTAAAAAATAAAGAGTCGTTCTTTTAATTCCCAATCTTTAAATTACAATAAATGGTAATATACTAGTAATGAATACAATGAGTAGTAAAGGAGTATTTTCGAATTTTTCTTAAATTATTTAAAAATTTTCAAAATGATAGATAGAGGATTTTCTCCATAAGCCCCCTTTATCTTATTATTTGTATTTAATCACATATAAATTAAAAATATTTAAAAAATGTGTTTTAATTATAATAGTATATTAAAAAACCTCTGAAACTGTAGAAAATAATTTAGGATGAATTATTAATAGAGAGTAAATGCTAACAATGAAATATTGTAATATGAATTTTCAAGAGTATGGCAATAATATTTTACAAAATTTTATTAAAACTTTAGTATTGAGTTTTCCCATTCAAAAGATTTATGAATTAGTTTAACAATGAAATAGAATAAGTTAGTTTCTCCTGATACTAAATTGGAGCTAGCAGTTCCTGTTATTAAAATGCAGGTACCAGGTCCTGGTACTAAAATGCAGCTACCAATATTTTATAAATTTTTTGTGTCCGTGTAATAAAAATTTTTCCTTTAAAAAATTTTCATTTAGCGTCATTTATGCAAATTTTCAAATTGGAACTGGAATTATGGAAATATTCGGAATTGGGAATTGAAAATTCATAATTTTATATAAAAATCATTTACATATATAATATTTAATTATTTTAAATAATATTTATGTAGAGACAAAACAAAATGCAAATAAAATTTTTGAATAAGAAAATTTAAAACAAGAACAGCAAAACCACTACTTTTTCTATTCTTAAATAGTTGGAACAGAAAAATAATGAAAATAATTGCAACTATACGACAAAAATAATAAAAATATGCACATACACACACACACAATATCATACAATATAAAAAAAAACAAACATACTTACATATTATTAAATACAAAAAAAAATTATACTATAAAATAAATTACTATGTATTTTTGTATTATTTTATATAGAAAAATTATCCGGAAGTAGAGGTGTCCGGTAACGGTAACCGGTTCCGATAGTCACTCTTTCCCGTTCCTTTTCCTGTTCCGTTTTTGATTTTTTTGCCTCTTCTTTTTCTTTTTTTGTTCTCCGAATTCATTTTTTTTTTCTACACTCGCATTTTCATTCTTTCTCATTCGGCCTTTTATTATGGTTTTTTAGGGTTTTCTGTTTTTATTTTTTTGTCCATTTCTAGTTTCATATTTATTTACTTATGTATATTTATTTTAAATAATATAAAAATTTTTTATATATATATGTAAATAAGTACAACACAATATTGTGGGGTACAAGGCTTTTATTTTTCTCTTAATTTTTTTTTTGTCATTTTCGGAGACTAAATAATTTTTGTTGCTTGGTTTCTTTTTTTGTTTTTGTTATTTTTTGGCACTTATAGGACGACAATAATGTAGGTACTATTATAAAATATATATATATATATATAAGTCTGTATGTATGTTTGTAAATTTATTATGTTTTTTATACAAACTATTTAGAGAGAAATTATTATGTCGGTTGCATTTTATTATATTCACTTTTTTTTTGTTATATATATATTGTATATTGTATAACATATTGTATAACACGTTTAGAAGTATATGTGTATGTAGACGCAATATATTTTTTATAAATGCAGTTAAAGTATATTAAATAGTTGAAGAAGTTTAAATATATAGAACAGAATATTTTTTTTCAAGAGGAACAAAAAAACAATTGTTAGAAATTGGAAGAGCTATTGCTTTTTGTTTCTTGTTATAGGGGCTAGGATTTGAGTGTTTTTTAAAGTAATTGTCTAATATTAGTACAAAAGTTGTTCTCACATACTGTATTAGAGCTGATCTTAAATATCGTTCAAAATTCAGAATTATGTGGTGATTTTTGCAATGATAATTTGCAGATAAATAGTTTTTGATCAAATTAAGGATAGAACTAAATTTCGCTGGATTGTGTAGATTCAAATACAAAAAATTCAATTTTGAAAATTTTAAATCATTTGGTATAAATCAAATCAATTGTTTTAGGCTCATCAGTTCTTTCGTTAGGTTCTTAATGAATGATTTGCAAGTATATTAGACTCTGAATGTATATTACACGTAGATCTAGTAGCGTACACCTCCTAAATAGGTGTAGTACAAACCCGTACAACATTTACTCGAGACTTACCTTACTGATAAGTTCGAATAATTTGAAAGTTCTGGTAAACCGCAGCTCCACTTGAATAAGTACGGAGTTACCAAATATTTCCCTTCTGTTGCGGGTGAGGACTCCACAATTCTCTCAACAGTTGCACCTGGAACGCCCCCTTCGTTCTCCCCTGAATGCATGCAAGGATGTAATTTTTTTTTTATAAAAATATTTTATAATTATATAAAAATATTTTTTAATAGTTTTTAAATAACTATAATTGTGTCTAACAACTTCTAAAATAGCAACAACAAAATTACTGTTATAATTACAGTACATTAATTTTAGTATACCATAAGAGTGTTAAAATGGAGGAAAATTTTTTTTTACTGTTATATAGTTTTTTTTTTTTAATATTATTGCATCCTAGGTACCATATTTGAAACGGAAAAGAATTTTTTTCTCTATATAATTGAGATTTATATTCAAAATATTCATATTATATTATTTATGTACATGTATATGTGTTTATACTAAATATAAATAATAATTTGAAATTTCCCCAAGTTAACACATTTAATTTTTGTCCTTATTGTACACATTTAAAAATTTAAAAGTTTTACAAATTTATTTAATGAATGTAAAATTCTTTATTATAGAGCAAATTACTGTTATACTAGCTTTATATACATATAGATATAATAGAAATTTGTAGAATCAGAGTAAATTTTTTATTTTGATATTTTTAGGAGTTTATAATCTAAAAATTATTCATTAATTTACCAACGAGTCATTGGTAAAAACAATATTCTTTAAAAGAAAATTCAAAAATGTTACAAAACTGTTATACAAAATTTTATGATTAGCTATCAAAGCAATTAATAGTTAATCAAAACTTTAATATTAAAATATTAATAATCCCAAAATTTTAATAATTTAAAATTAAAATATTTAATAAATATAACACAATTATAAATTCAACAAATTATCGAATTATTAAAAAGAAAATAATAAAAAAAAAAATAAATCACTCAATTATTGAGTGATTTATAACATGATGATTGATATTAAACCATCACAGGATTACTTGTCTCGTTCGACAGGATCATTTAGTAATTTTTCAATGTTATTCGCAGGTAAAATTTAATAAGATTTATAGCTTTTCCCTTAATAATTAATAATTTTGAAATTTTTATAAAATATATTTAAGAAAAATTATTTTTGAAAACCTTATAATGGAGAAAATCTGATTTTATTAAATTCTTTTATTTTATATTTTAATTTTATTTACAGATTCTTCATATAAGAGCTCGTGGGGCTCCCACAGTTCATCACAATCACAAGGTAATTTAATTATGTATTTTATAAAGTTTTTAATTATTTTATTTATTTCGAAAATATGAATGGTTATTAATTTTAAAATTAAATAAATTCGAATAAAACTTTAAATTACATGCATACATAAAAATTATTTCTGACTATTTCTGATTATGAAATGAATTTATGAGTATGTATATTAACAAAGCCCCGAGAACAAAATTAGGACTAGTGATAACAATTATTGTCACCTAAAATTTCTAAATTTAAATTAGACTTAAATTTACAATATGGAAAATAGCCGTCGACGTGGCAAATTTCAATTAAATAATTCCAAAATTTGAAAAATTGGACAGAAATGGCTGAATTTGTAAGAGAACAAAGTTCCTTTTCTTATATGCCTTGCACACAGGCTACGTATGTAAGAGTAAATAAAATTATTATAGTTATTAAATTAAAATGAAAGTCATCCCACTATATTAATGATAGCTGCTAGTTTAACTGAAGTACTATAGTTATAGTATATGAGAAAATTTGTATGGAAACTTGCAAATTTTTTACATGACGTACCTTGTTATGAGTGTTACACAGCATAATTTTATGAATAAAATTAGAAATTTATCGCGGAATCAAAATTAAATTTTTTTTTGCCCCGAAAAATATGCAATTTTTTTTTTAAATCGCAAAATTTGGATTCATAACATACTGATAAAATTCTTACTGTATTTTTGATGAATTTTAGGTTTTGTAAATTTTAATTAATTTAATTAATGAGGAGTAATATTTAAACACCCACACCGTTCTTCTATTGGACTAATTTTCGTGGTTTTAATTAATTTTTAAATTTAATAATTAAATTTAATTTGAAATTCTAGATTTAATTTTAATTTCAGACCAAATTTAGCTTTCAATCCATAAAAATTAAGTAATTTTTATATTAAAAAATTTATAAAATATTTCAATTATTTTCAATATTAAATTTTTAATTATAAACTTTTATAATAATCTATTGTTCTAATCTTTATAAAAAATATAACACTATTTTAATAACAAACTTACAATTTTAAACTCATGCTAGAACTCATACTCATATATGCTAGATTTTAGAATTATATTCGTATAATTTTCTATAAAAATTATTTAATTTTTTTTGTATGTCGAACTTGCATGTTACTATGTAATTTTTTAATTATACAAAATGAATTTTTCACTTATTAAAATTTACATGTATGTATGTGTATACTATAGTCGTTTATTTTATACTTGAAATTTTCCGAACAATTTATCACGTTAATTCTAAAATTTGTCACATATACTCACTCGCATACGCAATTACATATAATTTTTTTTCTCCATTTTTTTTTCCTTTAATAATGTGTGTATTTAGAACTTTAATTGTTATTAAAACTTGACTGGATTATGAATTAGGTATAAAAATTATTTTTTTTCTATATGAACAATGAAAAAAGAAAAAGTTGATGCCTAAAAGCTAAAAAATGTCATGAAAATATTTTGTCCTTCTATTTTTTTTTTTATTCTCCTATTTTTTCATAGCAAAATAATAGAAAGAGGGAAGAGAAACAAAAAAAAAATGGTGTCAATTATTTCATAAATTTTGTACAATGATTTTACCCGATAAAAATATTAATTGGGTTTTTGTGACAATTTAATTTTTTTTTCTGTTTTTTAAATATAATATGTGAGTGAATGTGTAAAAAAAATAATTATAATTGTTAGTTACACATGAATAAAATCTAAGATTAAAAACAAAATGAAGTGGAATTATTTTATGCAATTAAAGAAAAGTGGTTTTTCCTATAACATGTAAAGGAAAAACGTGTTTAATAATAAAGTTTTCCCTGTCGATTATTAGTGTGTATAATGAATAAACAAATTGATTTTATCAGATGAATGTTTTGAAAATGTTGTTAGAAGTTTGTTTGCCATTTGATTTCATATATTGACAAATCTTTGTCATTCAAATATTTAAAACTTGATTTTAGTATTTCTAATTGAATCTATGCAAACAGACCATTTGTTACAAAATTGTTTCTTATGTGGGTTTCAATTAAAATTGAAATGATTAAAAACTTTTAGGCTGTTGATTTGAAAAAATTTGGTCGAGTAATTTAAATTTAAACAGCGTATATAATTTTAATTTAAAAAAAAAGACGTAGCTGCTTGTACTCGTATTTTTACCAAACAATTTCGGAACGAATCTAGCTATACTAATTCTATTTCATGCAGGATGCTGTTTAAATTGTCAAATATCCATTTTTGAAAAAATTTTCATAAAAAAATTTCAAATAAGGTTTAATAAATTAAGTTTAAATTAAGTTATTAAGTGTTAAAATAAAAATTGTAATTTTTTATATTTTCCCTCATAACTCCGGAATTAGTCCTAATACATTAATAAAATTTTTGCAGGATATAGAGTAAAGTATGGAGTATTCAAATTTGTAATAAACTCAAAAACTAAAAAATTTGACTTACGCGGTTTATGTTCCACATTTTTAAAAGTTTAGTTTTTTCACCGTTTTTTTGGTTTTTTCAGATTATTTCCGAATTCTCCAGTATTAGGAAAAAAGGTTTCCTCTTTCTTTACTTATACATGTACGATATGAAGCTCAGCTCATGGTCAACTTTGCTTGTCTCTCACAAAATTAGTTTTTATATATTTCCAACCATATTTTTTTGTTTTAGTAAATTAAATCAAATCTATACATAATACGACACAGTTTTGATTATAAGACAAAAGAGACCCTATACTGTCTGCAATTTTATCGATAATTTCGGAACGAATTTAGAGCTACATTGATAAAATTTTAATAGGATGTTGTTAACATTATACAGAAGCCATTTTTTGCAGAAATTCTTAAAATACCTTCAATAAAGTTAAGTAAATTAAGTTTAAATAAAAATATTAAGTTTTTGCAACAAATGCTTGTAATTTTTTTTACAATTTTGCTCTTAACTCCGGAAATATTCTTGATACATCAACTAAATTTTGACAGGATATAGAATAAAGTATGGAGAATTTGAATTTGTCATAAACTCAAAAAGTAAAAAATTTGACTTACACGGTTTTTGTTCTGTACTTTTGAAAAATTTAGTTTTTTCACTATTTTTTGAGTTTTTAACCATTGCTTACAGCTTATTTTGGCATTCTCTCATACTAACAAAGCAGGTTTTCTTTTGCTTCACCTTTTAGTACTTTTATTTATAGAACAACTATAGCAAGGATTTATGGAACAATCAGGAACACTGTTACTAGCTTGTTACTAACAACAAAATTAATTCTTATAACTGATGACATAAAATTTACTATTACTATTAAATTTATAACAAAATCTATTTCTAATTCAATAAATCTCGAATCCTAAATTTAATATAAAAATTTTTTAAAACGCCATTCTGTAATAAAAACATTGTACTATGAAAAATTTCATTAGAAATCAATAAAATCCAAAAAGTCATTTTCATTTATAGAAAAATGTCCTTGTACTATAAAACTTTTCTTGAATAATAAAAAAACTTATTTTGACTTCTCATACTCGAACAATATTAAAAATATTATTTCTGATTGAGTTCATTAAAAAAATCATCATGACTCTCCATATATATACGAGTATAAAGCAATAGTTGATTTTCTAAAATCATTTAATGTAAGAATTTCAAAAATAAAAATTATAATAGTTTTACATTGAAAAATGTAAAAACAAAATGTGAATTGCATTCGTGTGTCCTTATTAAACTTTTCTTAAAATAATTTCAATAAAATAAAAATTATTAAAAAAATAATAGAGCTACGTTATACAATAGAGAATTTGTACATACACGTATACATACATTATATAATTTCAAAAAAATTTTCGAACAATAAATAGTTAATTTTCTTCGAAAAATAATGATTGTTAAAAAGAAAGGAAAAATATGCTTAATTTGAGCAAAAACAAAAGAGGAAAAAAATGGTCTTAATTTAATTTTTTTTGTATACATTTTTGGTATTTTTATTTGGAATTTCTCATGTACAGTAATCCCTCTTATAACGTAGCTTCCTACTACTTACATAATTTATATTTTATTTTTCCCAACTTATTTTAAACTACCGTAAATTTAACCTCGTGATTTTGTAATTTTAAACTCCTTGCACATACACACAATTAGTAAATTGTAGCTTAAGCAAACATCAGGCTATAATTCTTTGGAGCCTGCTATCACAAAATTTCAGCTCAGAGCTGAGACAGACTAACTGTTTGTAAAAAATTACAAACTGTTTGAATGCTTAATTGCATGCAGTTTCATTTGTGCAAGCATCAATATAATGGAATACAAATAAGTAGTTGTAAAACTAGAAATTGCATGTCTGCCAAAATTATCTGTAAATCTGTAAATTTTTAGTAAGCGTTGCAGGCGAGGAAACAGCCATACACATTCTGTTTGACTATCCTGCTCTGCCTATCAGGTGCAGATGGTTTGGACAGGGCTTTCTCAATGTTGGGAAGCTCAGGTTTAACTCTCTGAGGAATATCTGCGCGGAACCGGGGTAGTTTAAGTGGGATATGAGAGGACTACGATAATAACCATGACTAGCTGCAGTGGCTGGAGGGGAGGAGTTTCTTTGCCCATGTCTCTCTTCGGCAATAAAACAAAAAAGGATTTCTGTATATATATAGTTGAATAAAACAGTTTTGTGAATCATTTACAATTATTCTACTCTTATATGATGATGGTGATGCAGTCATAAAACAATTAACAAAAAAAAAACATTATGCATTGTTGCGCTTTTCGCCTTCATTCAATAATAATAATTAACAACCTAAAAAAAACACAAAGAATAAGAACACAAAAACAACACGCATATGAGTGAAATAAGACAATAAAAAAAAAATAATGGCAAAAATAGGAGCACAAAAAAAAAAAATTGAACACAAAATTTTTTTTTTTAAAAAGTTCGAAAATCTCTAAATGAAAATCCACTTCATAACAATACCGGTGAAAATTCACTGTTTTTTTTATTATTTTTT